AGAGAGAGAGAGAGAGAGAGAGAGAGAGAGAGAGAGCAAACCAGGGAACTCCACAGAGAGCAGTCATTGTACTCACCTCACAGACATTATAATCTGCCGAGTCCAGCATTTCACAGAGTCTAGGGAGGAGCTCCGGCCAAGAGGAAAGCTCTCCCTTCGATGCAGTGGTGGTGATGAGGATGCCCACAGTCGCTCGGATGAGGGGCGAGGGGTCCCCGACTGCTGATAGACATTCTGCCTATTGTTGCCAAACAAAAACAAAAAAGTTTTTCAGAAGGCTGAGCCTCACACACAACCTTTGCTCTTAAACATTCTGCAATTAAGCTTCTAAATCAAACAAGTAGAATATAAGAACTTAATATTTTCTATTCCAATAAATAAGAAAAGGAGAAATTATATATGGATGCAATAAATGATAAAACACCAACACATAAAAGGACAAATAAATATAACAAGCTCCCGAACGATGAAAACCCAAAATCATTTACACAGCTCTAATCAACAGGAAAAAAAGAGAGCTAGGAAGCCCCTCTTTTTTTCCTCTTCTCCTTTCTGAAAGACGTCTGACTTTGGGTTTACTTTTTACATCAAGGGCTCCGAAGTGTGGGAAACACATAGACGAAAAAAAGCACATTAGCAATCTCAAAACCAACCAAAACTGCAATACTAACCTTAATAAACTGTGCCACATCAGGGGGAAACTGATGAAAGTGTGCCTTGACATTATTCTTCAAAATAAGCCCACTTAGGGATCTTGTAGGTTCATCTGGCAAAAACAAAAAAACTATGGTAAGAAAAAGGGGACACAGGAACTAAATTTAAAGACAAAGTGGTAAAAAAAGGGGGAAAAATAAAGAAAATGAAGAAATAAAGGAAACCTTGCCAGTTCAATTACTGCCAGGTAAAGAGATTCTACCTGATAAAAAGTTGCTTCATAGCACACACCATGCTTTTATCCAATGCAGAATGTCATAGAAATGAATACATTGTATATACAACACACTTAAATATTTGCTAGTAAACAGATATCCACCAAACAAAAAAAGAACAGCAGACCTATAAAACAAACAGGTACAAGTGCACACACTTACAGACATACAAACATACATACACAAACACAGACACAGTCTACTCTCACTCAGTTACTATATTGAAAAGCTTTTTAGAAAAACAAGGGAGACAAGAATAGAAGTTTGTCTTTAACAAAGAGTGTTTTGTGTTGGGTGTGACTCATAATCTTGTGTGTAAACATGTTCTATATCAGTCCGAAAGAGAAAAGAAGGGAAAGAGCCGAAAAAAGGAATCTGCTTACGAAGAAAAGGAGGTTTAATACACTTGCTCCTATTCTTGGACACTAGAATAAATGGAGGAAGCCATCAATGCCATTTTGTACTTCAGTAACTTACTGCCTTGTTACCACAACCATGTATGATACCTCCACAAAAAGGCAAAGACATCCAAACACTGTAGACTCTTATGAGAGGTTGATGTTGCTGAGAACCTTTACTCTGGCTGGAGTCTCAAACTTGTCTGCTATAATAGCTAGACATACAAGGAGTTTCCACTCCCAAAACACCTGCACAAGCGCATTTGGTTGGAGACAATGCTTTTCAATGGACTTGTATAGTGGCCCATAATTTGTCACTTGATTGTACACGAAACATACATATAACACTCCTTCACACACCCACACCCACCCACACAAAATATACACAAAATAAACAAATACATAAATCTACAGATACTCTCTAAGATAAAAAAAATAATGCAAAAGAATAGAAATACACACCAAAAGAAAAATAAAAAGAAAAGAAAAAGAAAAAATAAATAAAGATATTTGTTTGCACCCATATATACAGACAGCTACACATACATTTATCAAAATAAAAGAAGGTTGGCCTAGAGCTAACCTAGGGTCTCTACCTAGTCGCCCAGCATTTACCTAATAATTTGACGCATTTTAAAAACAATCCTTGTGATTGATGAACTAAACAAGAGCCAAAACGACTACGTAGATCCCATGAGAAAAAATCTTTAACGAGACTAGTTTTAACTTATCTGCCTGCATATTTACCTTCGGATGTTAGTTTTGTGAGGACATATATAAGGTATTTGTTGAAGTCTGTGAATTTGTTGAGTTCTTCTAGTTTCTGAAAAAAGGAAAAAAAAGAATGCATAGTACTTGGCCCAACTACAAAAACCTGCTTTATCAAAACTTACTTAAACATTGAGCTAAAAGTTCCTTCACTATAGCGCCTCCTCTACTGAAAATTTTCTAGTTTGACATCTAGCTCTGAGTCTCAGTAAACAGCAAGGTTATCATAGTGAAAGAATTTTTTCAGTCTCTTATAAATAATAAATGCAGAATACAAAAAAGAAAAAAAATGTATATATATAACTGATTTTATAACATCTATGATCTTACTAAGGCACCTAAATAACTTATCTAATACGTCTCATGAATATCATTCAATATCCATAAAATAATACAATATAAAAAGAAATACATTGATATTCATAACAATATAGTAGTATCAGTAACAAAACACTATCATCATAATTATGATAAATAATAATAATAATAATAATAAATAACAATAATGAAAAAATACTTGCCTATACATACCGCAATGCCCATTTCTGCCTCCCAGCCTTTTCGCTCTAAACTACACTCAAAAATGAATGCCAAGTTTCTACTTACGGTCCTCACCTTTCCTGATATCTATAGCACTGACATCGAAAACTCACCTGTTATATCATAATGAAAACGTATACTCTTGTTTTGTATGAACTATAATAAAAAAAAATTATAGGGGGGTGGGGGGATGAGCATGTGAAATGAGAGACAGAGAGGGAGGGAGAGAGAGAGAGAGAGAGAGAGAGAGAGAGAGGAAGAAAGAGAGAGAGAGAGGGAGAAAGAGAGAGAGAGAGAGAGAGAGAGAGAGAGCGAGAGAGAGAGAGAGAGAGAGAGAGAGAGAAAGAAAGAAAGAAAGAAAGAAAGAAAGAAAGAGAGAGAGAGAGAGAGAGAGAGAGAGGGAGAAAGAGAGAGAGAGAGAGGAAGAAAGAGAGAGAGAGAGAGAAAGAAAGAGAGAGAGAGAGGAAGAAAGAGAGAGAGAGAGAGAAAGAAAGAGAGAGAGAGAGGAAGAAAGAGAGAGAGAGAGAGAAAGAAAGAGAGAGAGAGAGGAAGAAAGAGAGAGAGAGAGAGAAAGAAAGAGAGAGAGAGAGAGGAAGAAAGAGAGAGAGAGAGGAAGAAAGAGAGAGAGAGAGAGAGGAAGAAAGAGAGAGAGAGAGAGAAAGAAAGAGAGAGAGAGAGGAAGAAAGAGAGAGAGAGAGAGAGGAAGAAAGAGAGAGAGAGAGAGAGAGAGAGAGAGGAAGAAAGAGAGAGAGAGAGAGAAAGAAAGAGAGAGAGAGAGGAAGAAAGAGAGAGAGAGAGAGAGGAAGAAAAGGAGAGAGAGAGGAGAGAGGAAGAAAGAAAGAGAGAGAGGAGAAGAGAGAGAGAGGAAGAAGAAGAGGAGAAGAGAGAGGAAGAAAGAGAGAGAGGAGAGGAAGGAAAGAGAGGAGAGAGAGGAGAGAAGAGGAGAGAGAGAGAGGAAGAAAGAGAGAGAGAGACGAGAGAGAGAGCAGAGAGAGAGAGAGAGAGAGCGAGAGGAGAGAGAGAGAGAGAGAGAGAAGAGAGAGAGAGAGAGAGAGAGAGAGAGAGAGAGAAGAGAGAAGAGAGAGAGAGAGGAGAGGAGAGAGGGAGGGGAGGGAGGGAAGGGAGGGAGGAGGGAGGAAGAAAGAAGAAAGAAAGAAAGAAAGAAGAAAGAAAGAAAGAAAGAAAGAAAGAAAGAAAAAGAAAGAAAGAAAGAGAAGGAGAGAGAGAGAGAGAGAGAGAGAGAGAGAGAGAGAGAGAGAGAGAGAGAGAGTGACAAAAAGGGGGAATATAACAAAACATGGAAAAAATATCATAAAATATATGCATAAATAAATTATTATAAAAATAATGTGGTTTTCCTAATTACACCTATGAATGCACTAAAATATTCCTATTACATAAACGTGTTTATATAATTCTCACTGTGTATATCATGTAATAAGATAATTTATCAATAAAAATTAAAATCTTATAAACTAACAGCAACAAAATATAATCAACAAACAGTATTTCATATAAAGTCTGAACAATTGTCAAAATGAAAGCAATACTTGCTTAATATAAATAAAAACTGCTTATATTGGTAATAAGTACATAAAAAAACAAAAACTCCATCTTCCCTACTGTAACATCTCTTCTAAAATGTTCAATTTTTGTGCAAATGCCTGGTAAAAAAGCTATTGCATAATCGCCATTCCTAACTATTGGAAGCATACCCATCAAGACTTTATTGCACATGTCAAGTCCTCTTCGAATTTACCGTACTAACAACTGCAATGTATGGCCACCCACAATTCCATGTAAAATAATGACACTAATTCGTATACCAAAAATACAGGACTTAAATGAATAAATAATAAGGCAAAGTTGGCTTAATAAAATATGAATACAACAGCAGAAATATTGTTTCTTTACATTTAAAAATTTATAACACAAAACACGTAAAAGTGTCAAACTAATTCAAACATCTAAAGAATATTTACATACATCATAATGACAATAATAATAAATTATGAAAAATAACAACACTTACAGTAATAATAAGAACAATAATATTAATGATACCAATAATAATATCTAACAACACATTCACACACAATAATTCTTGAACTCTTACTTTCTCATATCACAAATGATGATAAAAATAACATTCACTTCAATATTACCCACCAAACATATGCATTTTATCAAGCTATATCACAATTTTCCACAAGGACATGCATACAAAAAGCAAAATCATTAAACATTTTTCTCCCTGGTTTCTTGAACACCTGCAATCAAGTTACCTCCATTACAGTATATAAGAATGTTATGCTGGAGCGCAGATTTTGGCACTGACTGGAGTTAGTGAAGTACGTAGTAGCTGGGTATCATTTGTCCAAATCCTAAACCTTTTTATGGTCATTAATGAAATTAGACATTTTAATCCAAATATCAAGGCACTCCTATCGCAGTCACATCCTTTGTCGTAAAAGTGGCAACTTTGATCTAGAAACACTGCTTATGCAAAGAGCACATTTCACACAGAGGTTATGTACACTATCTAGTAGTATGCAAAAATATAACAGATTTTAGACTGAAAAGTTCTAGAAGTCATATTTATCTTTATCAAAACAAAATTGTTGACATTATACAAATACTTAACACACAAAAAAACAATATTAGTAACAACGGCAATAACAATAACATAAGTATCATAAAACCATATCAAAAATTAAGAAAGTCAGTAATACTACAATCCAATGACAAACACACACACACAAAAAAACATAACAATTATCAAGGAACTACAAGCAGTAATAACTATTCTCTAATGACTAAAATAACAGTAATAAAAATAATAGCTGTGAAATGTTTAATATAATAACAGCACTACTAATAATAAATCAACAGTTATGATATAATCACTGCCATCATAATTATAAAATAATACATAACATTCAAAAGCAAAACCACAATTAAAATAAGTCATACATTATATATATAAATATATATAAATAAATAAATATTGCCAACACAAATGCACCACCGACACTTAACCAGTATTTATCAACTATGGGCAGATCAAATCAAAGCCATTCACAATATTTTCAACAAGTGTTTCACAAACCCTTGTAAAGACTGTAAGCTGAATAACTGCAGAGGCAGTAGGAACAATACGATACTTGGATAAACAAAAGTAAGAAATAGCTATGACTGACAGACTACACATGTCAGCCACAACAAAAATATTAAGCATCTATCATTGCCACAGCTTTCCAGCAATCAGCAAGCAAATCAAGGGTTACTGTCCAGCATGAGAACATGCAATAATACAAAAATAAATACTGCTATATAGGAAACCAAATGGTCACTACTATATAAAATGGATAAAAGTTAATATCTTAACTAAATGATGACAGCAGGACATGTACATGATTTTTGCTTAAACAAGGAAGGCTCTAGAAAAGCTTAGTCAACAAGAAGTCAATTACTGTGTCTACCTTATCTCGCCTGTTTCCCTCCATTCCTTGATTTTTGGATTTTCTCTTTTTCATTTAAAAAACCTATCAGTAATCATAATAACAGTAATGATAAAGCAAGTATACACGTAATTAATTCAAACCCATGATGACTAGGCCTGAATTTTTTGTGATGTAATATTACACAACAGTCTAGACCTAGCAGCTAGGCCTAGGCTGTGTACAGCCAGCCCACCCATTAGAAGTCATGGCATGTATTTACGTCATAGGTCATTCCATCATGACAGCCATAGGCGTACCCTTCTCTGATAGGTCAAAAAATGAATCGAGTAATCAGGCGAGATCAAGTAGACCTACTATCACACTTTTTGGTGATTAAGCATTTGTGGAGCCATCTATATGTAAATCAAATTCTAAAAAAGTAAAATGAACAATCCATGTATCTGAGACTAACAGATCAAAAATGATACTTGTAGCAGCTTGACCAATAGCTGTGGTAAAGACAAACAAATAACCACCAAGTAAATCATGGCAAGGTAGAGCTTGCAAGCCTTTCTGAGGTTCATCTTTCTGGTATGAACATACTTAGCTTCAGCAAATTGAAGATATTCTTATAGAAGACAAATAGTTGCAGTCGATGGTATGAGAAATAATATGCAGATACCCACAGTAACACCAGTTTCAGCTCTATCTTGCCATGCAAAGGTGTGTGTGTGTGTGTGTGTGTGTGTGTGTGTGTGTGTGTGTGTGTGTGTGTGTGTGTGTGTGTGTGTGTGTGTGTGTGTGTGTGTGTGTTGTTTTTTGCCACCAACAGAAACTTAAATTGTTGAAACTTGGGCAATTCTTTACAATATGGATGCACTCACTTTGTCCCATACTGCACATCACAAAACTTATTCAACAATCTAAGTTGCCATGCCTGGGTGCCCAAGGGGAGGGTTGATGGGTATGCATGACAAGATAAGAGCTGAAACTCGGAGCACCGAGCGGACTTAGGCTGAGAGCAGTGCTTTCCACGATCTTTTTCCTTTATTTGTGGCATTACCATTCGTGTCTGCAGATTATTTCTCGTACCAACATTTTGTTCTCAAAAGAATTTCATATACAATTTGCCCTACTTAGTGCATCCATATCAAAGAGTAACAAATAGCTGTGATATGGAGTTTGTGATTAAGTTTCTGGCAAGTGCATTGTACTAAAAAGTATAAAGAATTGGCCTTTATGACAAACTGTCAAATAAGGTACCAGTTCAGTTTTCCTAGCAAAATACAAGTGGTGGAGATTTGTTGCCTGTGCAAGTGTGTCAAGGCCACAGGGATTGATTCATGCAATGCTTGTCTGCCCTATCACCAATGCAGTTCTTTGGGCATCACTGTATAGATTCGCAACTTCACAAAACTATAAATTGTACGACTTTCATGCTATAAACTAGAAAAAATTCTTCATACACTGCACTACCCACAATTGCCCGTCACATTTGTCACAAGTATGTCACATTTTTAATACTAACAGTAATAAAAATGATAAACAAACATCACATTTCATCATACGTTCTACATAATAAAGGATTTTTTTGTAGCTAGTAATCAACATTTTATGCATAACCATGCTCAAGGTGTAGAGTACGTCCTCTTTAAAGGAAAAAATCCATTCTATTATCTGCTTTAAAGTATCATTACTCTTCAACTGTGACAAAACTTTCAAGACATTTAATTTAGCTTAATAACTATTTGTTTCTAAAAAAATATCAATATATATCCATAAAAAAGAAGAAGATTTCTGATGATGAAAAGCAGTACCTTCCATCGTTTCTCCTCGGCTTCAAGTCAAACGGCAAATGGCATAACTTCAGATGACCTCTCCCTGCCACTGCCCTCATGTTGCCAGCACTGCTACAAGCAAGCCTCCACCCATATATTCTGGCATGAGAGCCCCTCTGGCCCTCCCTAGGAATTCGTCAAATAAGGAACAAGTCTAAGCTCTATCTTGCCAAAGTACAAGTCAGAGGTTTGTTGTTCTTGTAACAATGCAGTTCCATCCTTAAAGTCACTCCATGTTCTTCTGAACATTTCCCCTTCAAGCCTTTATTCTTTTAGATTAATAAGAGATACTGTACCTCTCATGACTATTTCTAAAATCATTAAATTTTAAATTATAGAGGTGAATATAGGGAAGTAAACTCGATTGTGATGATAATCCTTCATTCACTTGCCTTTACCAGAGGAGCATTCTACACCAAGAGGTATTGGTTTGCTGAGCTTTAGATTCATTACCACAAGTAAATCCTATATTATGGCTGCAAATTTCATACATGACTGAAAAATTTATCTGTAATGATATACTTGTTTTTATCTCCCAGCTGTATGTCTAAGAAACAACTTCTCTAGTCCCTACTAAAGAAACCAAGTATACAGTGCAGAAATAAGAGAGACAAGCTAAAGTAATGGTAACAAATAACATCAAACAATGCTGTGTATACATATATATAAATCAAGCTCTAACCAAAGTAAGGGTAGGCTGACAATCGCTATTTAAACATCCAGATTCTGGCACCATGTGATGCTGTGACCTCAGACCTTTAGCAATGGTCAACAGACCTCCATGCATATTCAACAAATATACTGGAACTAGTCCAGGCTTATATCCTGGTACTACATTAAATGTGATAGCTTGTCAGCCTTTGCCAGACAAGCACAGAGGCCAAGATAGCACTTGATGCAGACCTATTCTACATAATTATCCGCATTTTTTTACAGAAAAACAAAATAATTTCATTTGCCTTAATAAACGTCTACACTGTTTCCATCACCTGAAACCTGTTTTTTCCATCTGTCGTCTCACACCAATCCCAAGGAAGTAATTTGCAAGCACTAATCCCCTGGGTCTCGTTAACCTCCTAGCTTTCCTTGTTGCATGACGTTCCAAATTTCAACGTAGACTCCTAGATCATGCTGGCAGGGCAGCCTAAGTCCACAATACTGAAGGTGGTGCTTCCTTTGGCACTCTTGCTTGTTCACCATAAATACCGGGAAATTAAAGGATTTAACAGGAAATCTATATCAAAACTGATTAAACAAACAAGATATAAAAAAGTTAATCAATGGTTAATTTAAAATAGGAGTTCTCTAACCTTAATACATTAGTTCCGAAAGGGTGTGTCAAGTGTATACCTACAAAGCCATACCTATAGTTGATACACGGCACAATACCACATGTGCAGAGCCATGGCTTGCCTTTGGACCGTAAATTACCGCAGCCTTATTACCTATCTACAAAATAAAATCATAAAGTAAAATCCTAATATATAAATTACCATTAGCAACCAAAATCCAAAATTGAGCCATGCTGAAACTCCATTGATCACTTTATATTGCTAGTTAGCATAAATCAATACAGAAAAAACACATTAGCATTAGCAAACGCAACAAAAGCAAAAACTGGTAATACACATCTGCTTTCCAAAGTGTTGCTTCATCCTCAGCAAGCAATGTACATTTCCACTTACCACGGCAGCGAAGTCCGAGCTACAACTACGAAAAACCGTACATAAATCTGAATAAAATCTGAACACCAAATGCACACAAATAATGGTAATAAAGCCAGGTGAAGCCCGAAGACCCAAGCAGAAGCCCGTGAGGTGAACATGCGATGTCACACACATCTGGCCGCGCACCTCCACCATGTAAACAATGTTCTATAACCTATTTTGCCTTAGAGATCAACTTAATCGTAATCTCCCTTACACCTGACAAAGAATAATGGACATGTCTTTGTGCATTGGGTAACAATCACACCGGTTCACCTCATCTCAAGAAATCAATACTTAACACTTCTTGATCAGTCGTCCCTGCCGCCCCCATCCAGGACCTCTGGCTGCGCACATCACCAATCTACTTTCACACAT